ACATCCTCAGGAAGACTGTTCCAGACTTTAGCTGCATAAATCTGAAAAGCAGCCTCCCCCTGTCTAGTCCTGATCCTCTCCAAGTGAAATCTACGGTACCAGTAACACCCACATCTTGTTTCTATACATTAGACAAGATAAGATTCAGATTGACGGAAGGGCACGTTTATTTGTATAGCACAATTCATCACAAGGCAACTCAAAGTGTGAACAGAACCAAGAAAAGCATTAAATCATAATAATCACGAACATTAAAAAACAAAAAGATAAACCTATAAATCCCTCCGTTGTCATGCACAGCTAAACAGAACTGTCTTTAACCTGGTTTTAAACATTGTCAGAGAGGAGGCCTGTCTCACATCTTCAGGAAGACTGTTCCAGATTTTAGCAGCATGAATCTGAAAAGCAGCCTCCCCATGTTTAGTTCTGACTCTGGGCACTAACAGGAGTCCAGTCCCTGTGCTCCTCAGAGTCCGGGCTGGTTCATATGGGACTAACATGTCACTAATATATTTTGGTGCGAGGCCATGGAGAGACTTGTACACAAGCAGAGCTGTTTTAAAGTCTATTCTCTGAGCCACAGGAAGCCAGTGCAGAGACCTGAGGACTGGACTAATGTGGTCGTACTTCCTGGTTCTAGTCAGGACTCGAGCTGCTGCATTTTGAATGTACTGCAGCTGTTTTACAGCCTGTTTGGACAGACCTGTGAGCAGGCCATTGCAGTAGTCTAACCTACTGGAGACAAATGCATGGATAAGAATCTCCAAGTCTGCTTTAGACACTATGTTTTTGATCCTGGCAATGTTTTTTAGATGGTAAAAAGCTGCTGATGTTACTGATTTGATGTGGCTATTAAAATTTAAGTCTGAGTCCAGTATTACCCCTAGATTTCTGACCTTGTTTGAAGGTTTTAGGGAGAGAGACTGTAGGTGACAGATGACGCTCTCTCTTTGTTTCTGGGGACCAAAGACAATCATTTCAGTTTTGTCTGCGTTTAGCTGAAGGAAGTTGTTTTGCATCCACTCACTGATCTGTTGGATACAGTGAAGGAGTGAGTCCACTGGTCCATGTTCTCCTGCAGTCAGTGAGACATAGATCTGAGTGTCGTCTGCATAGTTATGATAGGAAACTTTGTTTCTGCGTATTAACTGACCTAACGGCAGCATGTAGAGATTGAACAGAAGAGGTCCCAGGATCGACCCCTGTGGTACTCCACAGGTCAGGGCCATATGATCTGAGACACAGTTTCCAATCTCCACAAAGTACTTCCTGTCTTCAAGGTAAGACCTAAACCAACTTAGGGCGGTGCCAGCGACGCCAACCCAGTCCTCTAGTCTCTGTAAGAGGATCTCATGGTCGACGGTGTCAAAGGCAGCACTTAGATCTAACAAGATTAAGATTGAGACTTTGCCTGCGTCAGTGTTCAGCCGGATATCGTTTGTAACCTTGACGAGAGCAGTCTCAGTGCTGTGGTGGGGTCTAAAGCCGGACTGAAACATATCAAATGAGTTGTTGATTATAAGAAATCTAGTAAGCTGTAGGTAGACAACTTTTTCAAGGACTTTCCCCATAAATGGCAGATTTGAGATGGGACGATAGTTGTTAAGTACCGTAGCATCCAGACTGCTCTTTTTTAGCAGGGGCCTGATGACTGCAGTTTTCAGGGCCTTTGGGAATATTCCAGAATGAAGGGACATGTTTACTATCTGTGTGAGTGAAGGTAACAGACTGCTCAGAACAGACTTCAGAAATCTAGTGGGTAGTACATCCAGGCTGCATGTGGAGGAGCTCAAACTGGAGATTATCTCTTGGACAGTTTTATCATTTACAGGTGCAAAGTGAGTTAGCTCAGAGAGCCTTTCTGGCTGTTGGATGGTTATCTGTGGATTGGAGACAATGGCGTTTTTGATGCCTTGAACCTTGTCATTGAAAAAATTAGCAAACTCATTGCATTTACGTTTGGAAGTAAGCTCTAATGGCATTTGAACAGGGGGGTTTGTTAATCTATTAACTGTTGAAAACAGAACACGCAGATTGTTGCTGCAGCCTTCAATCATTTCAGAAAAATACCTTTCTCTCGTACTACGTAGCACCCGGTTAAACTCGCACAACTTATCTTTGAAGATCTCGTAATCAACCTGGAGGTTGGACTTGCGCCACTTCCGCTCGGCCCTCCGGCACTTTCTCTTTTGTGCCCTGACCGAGTCTGCTTTAGCCCACGGCGCCTTCTGCTTATTTTTCACTATTTTAACCTTCACAGGGGCAACGGTATCCAGAACATTCAAAACACTAGAGGTGACAGAGTTAAACAGTTCATCTACAGTAGAATACGATGCATTCTCAAAGTTTATCATTCCCATAAATAGTTCACTCGTATTTTCATTTATGTGTCTTCTTCGAACAGTTGCAGAGTCCACTGGTGGTTTGTTAGTGAAACACATGTCAAAAAAAACACAGAAATGATCCGAAAGAGCAACATCGACCACGTTTACATTTGAAATATTCACCCCCTTAGTAACTAACAGGTCTAGAGTGTGCCCTCTGCTGTGGGTGGGGCCACTCACGTGCTGAGTGAGACCAAAGGATTCAAGTACAGAACTCAGCTCATTTGCATTTCTGTCATCAACATTATCCACATGAATATTAAAATCACCTGTAATAACCAAACTATCAAAATCTGTGCATACAACTGAAAGCAACTCGGTAAAATTATCAATAAAACTGTGACATGACTGCGGTGGCTTGTATAGGACTATGAAGAGTATTGGAGGCGATTGTTTTTGTTGTATTTTAAAAGACACATATTCAAAAGACGGAAACACAAAGAGACTATGGGAGACTAGAGGTCTCTAAAAATGGCAGCAGCCTCCTCCTTTTTTGTTTTCCCGTATTTTCAGATTCAGACTTTGAAATTTGGTGGTTGACGCTTTATTAAAACTGCTGTAGAGACTAGAGGATTAAAAAGACTTGTAACACAGGCTGTAGAGGCTAGATGACACAGGCTGTAGAGACTAGAGGACGCAGCAGGCTGTAGAGACTAGAGGACACAGGCTGTACGAGGCTAGAGGACACAGGCTGTAGGCCTAGAGGACACTGGCTGTAGAAGAGACTAGAGGACACAGGCTGTGTAGAGACTAGAGGACACAGGCTGTAGAGGCTAGAGGACGCAGGCTGTAGAGACTAGAGGACGCAGGCAGTAGAGACTAGAGACGCAGGCTGTAGAGAACTAGAGGACACAGGGCTGTAGAGACTAGAGGACGCAGGCTGTAGAGGACTAGAGGACACAGGCTGTAGAGACTAGAGGACACAGAACTGTAGGAGACTAGAGGAACACAGGCTAAGAGACTAGAGGGACGCCCAGGCAGTTCGCTGCTCGTTCTGTGAGCGGAGGAGAGGAAAGAGCGGCTCGCTCAGACTCTACTACTCATCACTTTTCACTGCCTGTAATTCTTACACAGCTGAATCAATTGACCTCAAGTTTTTCAATTAAATGATTGTATTATGATGCAACTTGTATGTAGTAAAAAGCATTTTTTTTATGAACAACTTAGAAAAAAAATCGGGTATAGCTTCTTAAAGGGCCCTAATCTGTCATCATTAAAGGGCCCTAATCTGTCATCATTAAAGGGCCCTAATCTGTCATAATTAAGGGCCCTTATCTGTCATCATTAAAGGGCCCTAATATGTCATCATTAAAGGGCCCTATCTGTCATCATTAAAGGGCCCTAATCTGTCATCATTAAAGGGCCCTAATCTATCATCATTAAAGAGCCCTAAACCTTCATCATTAAAGGGCTATAAATCTGTCATCATTAAAAGGGCCCTAATCTGTCATAAATTAAAGGGCCCTAATCTGTCCATCATTAAAAGGGCCGTAAATCTGTCATCATTAAAGGGCCCTAATCTGTCATCATTAAAAGGGCCATTAATCTGTCATCATTAAAGGGCCCTAATCTTTCATCATTAAAGGGCCCTAGTCTGTCATAATTAAAGGGCCCTAATATGTCATTATTAAAGGGTCCTAATCTGTCATAATTAAAGGGCCCTAATGTGTCATTATTAAAGGGTCCTAATCTGTCATCATTAAAGGGCCCTAATCTGTCATCATTAAAGGGCCCTAATCTGTCATCATTAAAGGGCCCTAATCTGTCATTATTAAAGGATCTTAATCTGTCATCATTAAAGGGCCCTAATCTCTCATCATTAAAGGGCCCTAATCTGTCATAATAATAAACTGCTCTTTTCCAATACTTCTTTAACTGATAACAGTAGCTCAGAGATATTTGAATTTCTAAATTACTTTTACAGCCTCTAAATATTGTTATTGTTTTCATTTCGATGTCCCGCCCTCCACCGTTTCACCAATCAGAAAGTCTGTGATCCGGGCGCCAGAACTCACCGCGTGGAGCTAATCTCACTGGTAAAGTACCATGTGGCGCAGAACTAAAAAAGGTCTCGTTATGATTCTCAAATCATTAACGACAAAACAAGGAATAAAACCAGGATTTCTATCTTTGTGAAAAAGGTGTTGGTTATAGATTTGTTGTTGACAAAACTCTTGTCTATTCAGCTGTTATGGTCCCAGCTGGATTCGTCTGCATATCTGGCAACCTGAGTCAGGGAGAGTGGGAGAGGCTGCAGTACCACTTTTGGCCACATTTTTACACACTGCTCCTTTAAGACAATAGATAATAAAATGATAAAAATGTGGAGCTGTGATGTCACATGGAGCATCAGGAGGTTTTTACAGATGTTTTTATTGTACTTTAGCAGCAGAGGATGTGAGCAGGATAAACAATAGCGATAAAAGCAGCAGGTAAAGTGACAGACTTCTGCTCTGACAATATTCAAATCCAGGTTAAAAACAGCCAGGATTGTATTGTATTAACGCCTGTTGTAATTTTAGCGTTTCTTCTCTGGTTTGCTTTGTGTGTGAACTCCGCCATACTAAAATTAAACTTCCGTGCCTTTAATAAACATGTAGTAACTCCTCCACAACAATGTCCAGTATGCGTGGTGCCCATCCCATCGTGAGGGATTCTCTGCAGTATTGTGTCGCCGTGGTAACTGGACTCGTACGGGTGTGACTTTTACTGCCAGCTCAACGCCATGGCTCTTTTACAAGCTTCATGATCCGTCTTTGATCGACTTTGCCAGGCCTCCTCTTCCTTTTCTGTTTGTTTTGCTTCACACACACACACACACATAGATACACACACACACACACATATGGTTAAAAATAGCCGAGTGCGTCAGCGTAGAATCCGGGCCCTCCCTCTCCCCAGACAGCTCTGCAAACAGCCGGTGGTATGCAAATCTTTTCTACGCCACGGAACAATTCCTTCCCCTCGTCGTAGCCGTGACGTAGGAGAGAAACCGGAGAAGACCTGGGCGCGTCGTCGCACAACTATGCACAGAATGCTTTTGAAAAGGGCCGGAGGTGGAGCAGGAAAAGCCAGAAGCAAAAGTAGGGCGAGAGGGAAAGAACTGCAGAGGGAGAGGTTTCTTTGGGGCAAATACTGTGGTGAGGTGGAATATATGAAGTGGTGGTGAATATGAGGAAATACACAAAACTTGGATTGTCAAAAGTAAAGCAGACAGTGTTAAAGCTAGTATCAAAAGTAGATTAAAAGCTGAAACAAATCAAAAGGCGTGTAGTATCAAAAACACAATACTTAGCCTTCTTTAGCTTTAGTTCAATCCAAGAATGCATTTAAATCTAAAGACAAAATAAAAAAATGATATCCATATTTAATAAAAAAGAAAATGTCCTCTGAGTATGTCCCACTATGTAAAAGGTGAAAGAGAGGTCTCCCATCACAGGACTAACCATGCTCTGCCCTGCTTAGCTGCATTGGTCTGACAGGATGTGGCTTTCACCTGCAGGTACGGCCAGGATTGAACAGTCTTTCCCAAAAAAATCTCTCAAAATTGTTATTGACTTTTTGCATTTATAAAATAAGAGTTTTAGAAATATCCATGGAGCAGGTTAAAGGGACAGACACTTTATTGATCTCTGTTGGAGAAGTTCAGGAGAAGTTCAGGAGAAGCTCAGGAGAAGTTCAGGAGAAGTTCAGGATCCAGTAGCAACAGAAATAAAATAAATCATTCTAAAAAGCTAACAATAGTAATAACAACAGTCCTTCAGGTCACAGCAGCAGGAGGAGCTGGGTTCAGACCATTTTCTCTGCTCTGGTCTGGACCAGTGTAAAACCATCAATCCTCTCTGCTCTGGTCTGGACCAGTGTAAAACCATGAATCCTCTCTGCTCTGGTCTGGACCAGTGTAAAACCATGAATCCTCTCTGCTCTGGTCTGGACCAGTGTAAAACCATGAATCCTCTCTGCTCTGGTCTGGACCAGTGTAAAACCATGAACACTGAACTGCACCAACATCTCAGGGATAAAGCAATAAAAAATGACAAATGTAAAACACAAAACCAGATGAAGCTGCAGTGGCGGTCCAGGGGGTGGTCCAGGGGGTGGTCCAGGGGGTGGTCTACCTCCGTCATCGCACCAGGACCACTCCTCACTCAGCCATAATCAACTCCCTGCAGCTGTCAATCAAGCCAGCGTTTAAAAGCAAAGCAGAGCACAGCTCATCAAACAGACTTTCAAGCTGCAGCAACCTCCTCCCCACCTCCTGCTCACCTCCTCCCCACCTCCTCCCCACCTCCTGCTCACCTCCTCCCCACCTCCTCCTCCTCACCTCCTGCTCACCTCCTGCTCACCTCCTCCCCACCTCCTCCTCACCTCCTGCTCACCTCCTCGTCACCTCCTGCTCACCTCCTCCCCACCTCCTCCTGCTCACCTCCTCCTCCTCCCCACCTCCTGCTCCTCACCTCCTCCTCACCTCCTCCCCACCTCCTGCTCCTCACCTCCTCCTCACCTCCTCCCCACCTCCTGCTCCTCACCTCCTCCTCACCTCCTCCCCACCTCCTGCTCCTCACCTCCTCCCCACCTCCTGCTCCTCACCTCCTCCCCACCTCCTGCTCACCTCCTCCCCACCTCCTCCTCACCTCCCCCTCCTCCCCACCTCCTGCTCACCTCCCCCTCCTCACCTCCTGCTCACCTCCTCCTCACCTCCTGCTCACCTCCTCCCCACCTCCTGCTCACCTCCCCCTCCTCACCTCCTCCCCACCTCCTGCTCACCTCCTCCCTACCTCCCCCTCCTCACCTCCTCCCCACCTCCTCCTCACCTCCTCCCCACCTCCTGCTCCTCACCTCCTCCCCACCTCCTGCTCCTCACCTCCTCCTCACCTCCTGCTCCTCACCTCCTCCCCACCTCCTGCTCACCTCCTCCCCACCTCCCCCTCCTCACCTCCTCCCCACCTCCTGCTCCTCACCTCCTCCCCAGCTCCTGCTCACCTCCTCTTCACCTCCTGCTCACCTCCTCATCACCTCCTGCTCACCTCCTCTTCACCTCCTCATCACCTCGTCTTCACCTCCTCATCACCTCCTGCTCACCTCCTCTTCACCTCCTGCTCACCTCCTCCTCACCTCCTCCCCACCTCCTCCCCACCTCCTCCTCACCTCCTCCCCACCTCCTCCTCACCTCCTCCTCCTCCCCACCTCCTCCTCACCTCCTCCTCCTCACCACCTCCTGCTCACCTCCTCCTCACCTCCTCCTCACCTCCTCCTCCTCCCCACCTCCTGCTCATTTCATCTCTTGTAGTCTCTTCAGGATGAACAACTGTTTCAGGACTTTCTGCTGTTTCCAGAACATTCTAAAGTAAACTGAAAGAGTCCAAACTGAAACGCACAGATCTGAAGGAGGAGGATTTTTGTGGAAAATATTGTGGTAAGATAAAAAAAGAAAAGAAAATGGTGATTAACAAAATCGAGCCCTTCAGAAAAAACAAACTGGGATTGTAAAAACTACAGAAACTCAGTGTTAAAGCTACTATCAGAGTAGATGCTCATCAACAACTGAACATGTGTGATTGTTTTAGAATCGAGTCGTCTGTGGGGGTGTACCCAGAAACAGAATAACCCAATACTTTTGGATGGCGTCTTCTTCGCTCTTAAACCTCTTTTCAGGATGGTCCAAAGTCGTTCTTGGTCCAAAGCTTCGTTCCAGATGCTGTCGATGTTGAGGGGAGTATATATATTTTTTGACCAGTCTAGTTTAGCCGCTGTGGACTTCAGAATGCTCTCATTAAATGAATGGGACTCATGCCCAAATGTGGTTTTTCACATTTTCCAGCCCCCGCGGCCATTTTGAAAAAGCCCCACAGAAGGCCGAAGTTATGGCACATTAGTTTGAACGGCGGAGATCGGCGTCTGATGATATTTACAATCTGTGGGAAATCTGTTTTCTCTCAGACAGAATTAAAAAAACTAATACATTTAATTTAGTATTTCTGTTATCAAAGGTGCGGTAAGCGATTTTGTTAGCTTAGCCGTAGCACCAACTGGTAAACCACTAACCCCCCCCCCCTCTCCACCAAACCACTCCCCCTCCCCTCCACCAAACCACTCCCCCCCCCCCCCTCTCCTCTCCACCAAACCACTCCTCCCTCCCCTCCCTCTCCACCAAACCACCCCCCCTCCCCTCTCCTCTCCACCAAACCACTCCCCCCTCCCCTCCCTCCCCACCAAACCACCCCCCCTCCCCTCCCTCCCCACCAAACCCCCCCCCTCCCCTCCACCAAACCACTCCCCCCCTCCCCTCCCTCTCCACCAAACCACCCCCCCTCCCCTCTCCTCTCGACCAAACCACTCCCCCCTCCTCTCCACCAAACCACTCCCCCCTCCCCTCCCTCCCCACCAAACCACCCCCCCTCCCCTCCCTCCCCACCAAACCACTCCCCCCTCCCCTCCCTCTCCACCAAACCACCCCCCCCTCCCCTCTCCTCTCCACCAAACCACTCCCCCCTCCCCTCCCTCCCCACCAAACCACCCCCCCTCCCCTCCCTCCCCACCAAACCCCCCCCCCTCCCCTCCCTCTCCACCGAACCACTCCCCCCTCCCCTCGCCTCTCCACCAAACCACTACCCCCTCCTCTCCACCAAACCACTCCCCCCTCCCTCCCTCCCCACCAAACCACCCCCCCTCCTCTCTCCTCTCGACCAAACCACTCCCCCCTCCCCTCGCCTCTCCACCAAACCACTCCCCCCTCCTCTCCACCAAACCACTCCCCCCTCCCCTCCCTCCCCACCAAACCACCCCCCCTCCTCTCTCCTCTCCACCAAACCACTCCCCCCTCCCCACCAAACCACCCTCCCTCCCCACCAAACCCCCCCCCCTCCCCTCCCTCTCCACCGAACCACTCCCCCCTCCCCTCGCCTCTCCACCAAACCACTCCCCCCCCCCCTCCCTCTCCACCAAACCACCCCCCCTCCCCTCCCTCCCCACCAAACCACCCCCCCCCCCCTCTCCTCTCCACCAAACCACCCCCCCCTCCCCTCTCCTCTCCACCAAACCACTCCCCCCTCCTCTCCACCAAACCACTCCCCCCCCCCCCTCCCTCTCCACCAAACCACCCCCCCCCTCCCCTCTCCTCTCGACCAAACCACTCCCCCCTCCTCTCCACCAAACCACCCCCCCTCTCCTCTCCTCTCCACCAAACCACTCCCCCCTCCCCTCCCTCCCCACCAAACCACCCCCCCTCCCCTCCCTCCCCTCCCTCCCCACCAAACCCCCCCCCTCCCCTCCCTCTCCACCGAACCACTCCCCCCTCCCCTCGCCTCTCCACCAAACCACTCCCCCCCCCCTCCCCTCCCTCTCCACCAAACCACTCCCCCCTCCCCTCCCTCTCCACCAAACCACTCCCTCCTCCCCTCCCTCTCCACCAAACCACTCCCCCCTCCCCTCCCTCTCCACCAAACCACTCCCCCCTCCCCTCCCTCTCCACCAAACCACTCCCCCCTCCCCTCTCCTCTCCACCAAACCACCCCCCCCCTCCCTCTCCACCAAACCACTCCCCCCTCCCCTCCCTCTCCACCAAACCACTCCCCCCTCCCCTCCCCTCTCCACCAAACCACTCCCCCCTCCCCCCCCTCTCCACCAAACCACCCCCCCCCTCCCCTCCCTCTCCACCAAACCAAACATCCAGCATTTCCTTCTCTTTGACACAACAGGGAGAGTGGACGGCAAACATGAAATTGTCATTTTTTAAATTAATTTTTAGAGACTATAGGCATCTGGACTACCTAATTACTATTTGAAAACACATGATAACTCAAAATCACTGACTGCATCTTTAACCGACGAACAAACAGCTGTTGCGCCTCAGGAAGTGACCATCTCCACTGGACCCTCACCTTGTGCTGAGGCCCCGTAGCCCCTGGAGGAACCACTGCCCACGGCTGCATTAGACGAAGAGAAGAGGGCGCCCTGAGCTCAGATGTACACATTTCTCAAACTCGTCAGAACATTCTCCCGAGTTGCGACCTCCAAGTACAAAGATCTTTCTCTCGTAGCCATGGCAACACTTTTCCTTTAGCCTTCTGTCTGATGACGGCGTTGAAAGAAGACTGGGGCTTTTAGTGTGTGTGTGCTATGTGTGTGTATTTGTGTGCGTATATGCTGTACGTGTGTGTGTGTGTGTATATGCTGTGTGGTGTGTGTGTGTGTGTGTGTGTATGCTGTGTGTGTGTATGCTGTGTGTGTGTGTGTGTGTGTGTATATGCTGTGTGTGTGTGTATATGCTGTGTGGTGTGTGTGTGTGTGTATGCTGTGTGTGTGTGTGTATGCTGTGTGGGTGTGTGTATGCTGTGTGTGTGTGTGTATGCTGTGTGTGTGTGTGTATGCTGTGTGTGTGTGTATATGCTGTGTGTGTGTGTGTGTATATGCTGTGTGGTGTGTGTGTATGCTGTGTGTGTGTGTGTGTATGCTGTGTGTGTGTGTATATGCTGTGTGTGTGTGTGTGTATGCTGTGTGTGTGTGTATATGCTGTGTGGTGTGTGTGTGTATGCTGTGTGTGTGTGTGTGTGTATATGCTGTGTGGTGTGTGTGTGTATGCTGTGTGTGTGTGTGTGTATATGCTGTGTGGTGTGTGTGTGTATGCTGTGTGTGTGTGTGCTGTGTGTGTGTGTGTGTATATGCTGTGTGGTGTGTGTGTATGCTGTGTGTGTGTGTGTGTATATGCTGTGTGGTGTGTGTGTATGCGCGTATATGCTGTGTGGTGTGTGTGTATGCTGTGTGTGGTGTGTGTGTGTGTGTATGCTGTGTGTGTGTGTGTATATGCTGTGTGGTGTGTGTGTGTGTGTATGCTATGTGTGTGTGTGTGGTGTGTGTGTGTGTGTATGCTGTGTGTGTGTATGCTGTGTGTGTGTGTACGCATGTGTGTGTGTGTGTATGCTGTGTGTGTGTGTGTGTGTATGCTGTGTGTGTGTGTGTGGTGTGTGTGTGTGTGTATGCTGTGTGTGTGTGTGTGGTGTGTGTGTGTGTGTATGCTGTGTGTGTGTGTGTGTATGCTGTGTGTGTGTGTATGCTGTGTGTGTGTGTACGCATGTGTGTGTGTGTATGCTGTGTGTGTGTGTGTGTGTATGCTGTGTGTGTGTGTGTGTATGCTGTGTGTGTGTGTGTGGTGTGTGTGTGTGTGTGTGTGTGTGTATGCTGTGTGTGTGTGTGTGGTGTGTGTGTGTGTGTATGCTGTGTGTGTGTGTGTGTGTGTGTGTGTATGCTGTGTGTGTGTGTGTGGTGTGTGTGTGTGTGTATGCTGTGTGTGTGTATGCTGTGTGTGTGTGTACGCATGTGTGTGTGTGTATGCTGTGTGTGTGTGTGTGTGTATGCTGTGTGTGTGTGTACGCATGTGTGTGTGTATATGCTGTGTGTGTGTGTATGCTGTGTGGTGTGTGTGTGTGTGTGTATGCTGTGTGTGTGTGTATATGCTGTGTGTGTGTGTACGCATGTGTGCTGTATGTCGCTACACAAGGGAACGCCATGTTTCATTTCGATGGGAAATAGCCGTGTCTGGAGTTTTTTGCACTGAGGAGATAAAGCAGGACTCATATCGACTGCCCTCATTCGAACAAAAGGAAATGACCCAAAATGTGAGACAGTTTAAAAGAGTTTTACCTTCACTCGCTTTTAATATGTGCAAAAAACTGGTGAATTTAACTGAAATACAGAAAAAAACAGTTACCATATGCTAACTGCTAGCAGGTAAACAGTGTGTTGCTATGGTAACCAGCACCCGCTCTGTTCTGGTGGAAAACCCAACCGACATTTCACCTTTGGTTCTCCATCTGCTTATTTCTAAAGTAAAATATACTTTCACATTTATAAAGTCAGGCAGTTATGAAGACCACAGATGTACAAACTGAGTCTACGTGTTGTTTTCATTGATTCTCTGATCTGTTGTTAGCAAATCGACAACATTGTAAAGTCCTCCGAGGTAACTGCTTTTGTGATTCAAGGCTATTCAAAAAGACATGTAAGGGCACGGTCACATAGGTTTTTACAAGTGAACTGGGCCAAGTGGTCCGGATCGTCGCCACAGGGGGGTGAAAATGGCCCGCGGTCACATGAACGTGTCTTCTGAACCGTGCCAGGGAAGCCGTGCTGTAGTGCAACGTCCGGTCCAGCTGGTGGCGCTAATACTAACTCCAGCAGGCTCGAGAATGCAACGTGTTGTCTGCATCAGAGCAATGTGAACAAGTGTGAGACTTGTCTTTTCCCACAATGCAGCGGTGGGACATGTGTGTTGTCTGTGAAGCGACGGCCCGAGGACCGAGTGGGAGACCCCGTTTTAGTCTGTGCCATAATCATTGATTAAAGAACATTCCAAGAGCGAACACGATCAGAATCAGATTCAGTTTATTTGCCATTTGCAGTAAAAAAACCACATTGGAATTCATTAGCAAAAGTGTCCAGTGTGCACAAGAACAGACATAAAACAACATTAATAGACACAAATAAAACAGTAAACAAAAGTCACTGTGAAATCGATCGACTTTCAAAACAAATGCAAATCATTAAAGTGCTCTGTTCACACTGATAACAGCTGTGGATAAAAACTGTTAGCGTAACGAGATGTCCTGCATCTCAGAGAGCCATATCTTCTGCCAGAGGGAAGAAGCTGGAACATGGCTTTCCCAGGGTGGCCAGAAGAGTCATTAACAATCCTAAGAGCTTTGTTTAAAAGTCTGGATTTATAAAGAACCTCCAGAACAGGAAGCTCACAGCCCACGGTCCTCTTTGCAGAGCGGAGCGGTTAGAGCTTGAGCTTCACAATAAGAAGGTTCTGGGTTCAAATCCGGACCTTTCTGTGTGGAGTTTGCATGTTCTCCCTGTGTCTGTAGAGTTTCCTCCAGGTGCTCCGGTGCTGGGTGGAGGGAATGGAAAATATAGGAATCAAAAACATGGTAAAACACTTTCAGAGGCTATGGTCTGGGAAATGTGCTATATAATTAAATAACACCTCTTTACTGGCACAGTGTGATTAAAGGAGAGCAGTAGAAAAACATGTAAATTTACCCAACTTTCTTTTGAGAGAAAAAATATTCTTGAAAAGAGGAATAAATGAGTTCTGACCTTGACGCTTTATCCTGAAGACTCTTTTCAAAACACATCAAGTCGAACGCTTTAATCAAATCTATTGAATTAGTTCTCGCTCCTAAAACACTTTATCGTTCACTGGTTTCCACATGTGGCCTCCGTCTGTGAGCGAAGTCCCTCGTGGATGAATAAAGTTATTTGAATTGAATTGAATGTAGTTGCCTCATCTTTAGATTCAATTTTACAGACAGAAAGGTGAAAGAGAGGACCACCCTCCCTCAGCCAATCAGATCGCAGGGCTCTTCCGTACAAGTGAGCACAAGACAACTATATTCCTAGTAAGATATAACGAGAATAATGTACTCAGGATTTATAAAACCTAAAGAAAGTAAAGGTCGAGGTCTGACAGATTGGATTTTGTGGGGATCAACTTTTTCATCTCTTTTTCTGTAACTTTAGTGCAGGGCCGGCCAAACCAGTCCTCGAGGGCCGCTGTGGCTGCAGGTTTTCTATCCAACCAGACGCAGACCCATGGACGGGCGACTTTCAGCTGCATGAGTTTTGTCAATCTGATGAATACGGCCTTCATACTTACAGTCTATGGTACAGCCCTGCGATGGGAACACCAGACTGTCAATATGAACAATCACGGCCATCTCCGCCGTTCTAACTAATGTGCCACACCTTCCGCAAGTATCAATTTAGAAAAAGAAAAAAACATTGTATATTTTTTTATTTTTCCTTTTTGTATTAGTATCAATACTTAATATATGGCTACATTACACATCTCCATTCCATTTATCATGAAATGAAGCGTATTTTTTCACTTAACATTTTTCTATTTTATGTATGCCACATATTGGCAGAATGGTATATTGCTGACCAATATATTGATAATCGTCATATCGTGATATAATCGTTATCGTGAGGTTTGTATCGCGTGTGTCGTATCATATCATGAGGTACCCTTAGGTTCCCGCCCCTAGTGTTTATATGATTAATTTTCACTTCTGTATCGGACACGTTAGCAGCACTTGTTTACAGTCGCTGGAGAATATCAACTCAGTTTGATTTCACTTTTGAACTGTTGTTTTGTCTTCGTGTTCGTCTCCCGCTGCTCTAAAGGAGGTGAGTCTCACCTCCTGCGTTTGCCGCGAGATACATGAAAATATTCACACAGACGTACAATACCGTTGACTTCATGTAAACTTTCATGATCCGGTGTAAACAAGACTGATGTTGAGGAAATGGTCTGCATGGGCGGAGTCTGCATGGGCGGAGTCTGCATGGGCGGAGTCTGCATGGGCGGAGTCTGCATGAGCGGGTTTCTCTGGTCGATGTTTCCAGTTTGTTTGGTTCATACTGTTTTCTCTGCTCTGGTTCAGAGGGAATTCATGAATTATTTATAGGCATTATTATATATATATTTTTAAACAACTACAACTTCAAATGTCTCCAGTGGATTCTGTGTCACACTGTAGTAACATTTACAGAGAGAAAATACCAAGAAGAATAATGATTGAAAAAGACAAAACAACAACAGTTCCAGAGCTACCGAGGACTTGCCGCTGTTTCAGATCATTCACAAGTAAATACAGGCATTACATAAATGAGGCTTTACGTAAGAGGTTAAACCTACTATCATACCATGAAGGCATGTCGGGCGGACACACCAGTGACACGTTCATACCAGCTGCTGAGAACCACGCTAAAAGTAGATCAGAGAAAGCCCTAAAGTCTCCCATAACCGGTCGGCCTGCGTGTTTGTGTAGCAGCTCCTTTACAGTTTGTCAGCACGCACACAACTCTAACTGTCTAACACACACACAACGCTAACTGTCTAACACACACACAACTCTTAACTGTCTAACACACACACCACGCTAACTGACTAACACACACACAACTCTAACTGTCTAAAGCCTGGTTCACACGAGACGATTTTAAAATTGTCGGCCGATTTTTCTCCGTGTTAGACCCCACACGGGGAGATTAAAAATCCTGCGTCTAACCACTTTGGTCGTGCAGTGTGTGGTGCGTAGCCACACGGCAAGATCACGCAAGCCACAAACATCACACACTGTCTAACACACACACAACACTAACTGTCTAACACACACACAACACTAACTGTCTAACACACACACAACACTAACTGTCTAACACACACACAACACTAACTGTCTAACACACACACAACACTAACTGTCTAACACACACAACTCTAACTGTCTAACACACACACAACACTAACTGTCTAACACACACACAACACTAACTGTCTAACACACACAACTCTAACTGACTAACACACACACAACACAACCTCTTTTTGATGCTTGTTCCGTAAAATTTTCAATACAAAACAATGTATAACAAGCCTAATGCTAATGCTAATGCTAATGCTAATGCTAACTGTGGGAAATGGACCTGTTGCTGCGCTAAACGTATTCAACAAGTGAACGCTGATAATTGACTATTCTATTATTGTTTACCACGGTCCGATGGAACCACCCTAGAACCTCTGTCTGACCATGTGTGCTCTGTCTGACCATGTGTGCTCTGTCTGACCATGTGTGCTCTGTCAGACCATGTGTGCTCTGTATGACCGTGTGTGCTCTGTCTGACCATGTGTGCTCTGTCTGACCATGTGTGCTCTGTCTGACCATATGTGCTCTGTCGGACCATGTGTGCTCTGTCGGACCATGTGTGCTCTGTCTGACCATGTGTGCTCTGTATGACCATGTGGGCTCTGTATGACCATGTGTGCTCTGTCTGACCATATGTGCTCTGTCTGACCATGTGGGCTCTGTATGACCGTGTGTGCTCTGTCTGACCATGTGTGCTCTGTATGACCATGTGTGCTCTGTCTGACCATATGTGCTCTGTCGGACCATGTGTGCTCTGTCGGACCATGTGTGCTCTGTCTGACCATGTGTGCTCTGTATGACCATGTGGGCTCTGTATGACCATGTGTGCTCTGTCTGACCATGTGTGCTCTGTCTGACCATGTGTGCTCTGTCGGACCATGTGTGCTCTGTCTGACCATGTGTGCTCTGTCGGACCATGTGTGCTCTGTCGGACCATGTGTGCTCTGTCTGACCATGTGTGCTCTGTCGGACCATGTGTGCTCCATCTCCGACCCGGTGACATCTCCTCAGAAGCACAAAGACATCTATAGAACGCCATCTTTCTGAGATCTTTAAGAGATTAAAATAATAATAAAGCCGCCTTAGTTACACACTTGACGACAGCATGTGACGCTGTGAGAAGCGTTCAGGAAAATCAAAGAGAGTGAGATGGAGACAAGGCCTTTAAGTTTAGTTTTTATGAAGCGTACGTGTGTAATTGTCTTGTCTGTTTTTGTCTGTGGCTGTGTCTGTAACTTTAGTGTTATAACCGTTTGGCAGAGCCCACCGTGATGAGGACCCCCTTGAAAATGATTCATCTCAATGGGTAAATCCATAATAAACAGTTCCATACATCTTTGATCCAGTCTAACTCTCTCTGGATTTATTCCTCCAAATGATCTGGAACCAGTTTGATTTTGTTTTCATCGGATTTGACAGATAAATACAACCATTATCTTGGTCTCAGAGTGCACCACAGAACTGTCAACAGCAGACTGGACTGGGCACAGTTTTAGGGCGAGGGTCCAGAGTATCCAGAGGGTCCAGAGTGTCCAGAGGGTCCAGAGTATCCAGAGTATCCAGAGGGTCTAGACTAGAGGGTCCAGAGTATCCAGAGGGTCCAGGGGATCCAGGAGGTCTAGACTAGAGGGTCCAGAGTATCCAGAGGGTCCAGAGTATCCAGAGGGTCCAGAGTATCCAGAGGGTTCAGAGTATCCAGAGGGTCCAGAGTGCCCAGAGGGTCCAGAGTGTCCAGAGTATCCAGAGGGTCTAGACTAGAGGGTCCAGAGTGTCCAGAGTATCCAGAGGGTCTAGACTAGAGGGTCCAGAGTATCCAGAGGGTCCAGGAGGTCTAGACTAGAGGGTCCAGAGTATCCAGAGGGTCCAGAGTATCCAGAGGGTCCAGAGTATCCAGAGGGTTCAGAGTATCCAGAGTATCCAGAGGGTCCAGAGTATCCATGAGGGTCCAGAGTATCCAGAGGGTCCAGAGTATCCAGAGGGTCCAGAGTATCCAGAGGGTTCAGAGTATCCAGAGGGTCCAGAGTATCCATGAGGGTCCAGAGTATCCAGAGGGTCCAGAGTATCCAGAGGGTTCAGAGTATCCAGAGGGTCCAGAGTATCCAGAGGGTCCAGAGTATCCAGAGGGTTCAGAGTATCCAGAGGGTCCAGAGTATCCAGAGGGTCCAGAGTATCCAGAGGGTCCAGAGTATCCAGTGGGTTCAGAGTATCCAGAGTATCCAGAGGGTCCAGAGTATCCAGAGGGTCCAGAGTATCCAGAGGGTTCAGAGTATCCAGAGTATCCAGAGGGTCCAGAGTATCCAGAGGGTTCAGAGTATCCAGAGGGTCCAGAGTATCCAGAGGGTCCAGAGTATCCATGAGGGTCCAGAGTATCCAGAGGGTCCAGAGTATCCAGAGGGTTCAGAGTATCCAGAGGGTCCAGAGTATCCAGAGGGTCCAGAGTATCCAGAGGGTTCAGAGTATCCAGAGGGTCCAGAGTATCCAGAGGGTCCAGAGTATCCAGAGGGTCCAGAGTATCCAGTGGGTTCAGAGTATCCAGAGTATCCAGAGGGTCCAGAGTATCCAGAGGGTCCAGAGTATCCAGAGGGTTCAGAGTATCCAGAGTATCCAGAGGGTCCAGAGTATCCAGAGGGTTCAGAGTATCCAGAGGGTTCAGAGTATCCAGAGGGTTCAGAGTATCCAGAGGGTCCAGAGTATCCAGAGTATCCAGAGTATCCAGAGGGTCCAGAGTATCCAGAGGGTCCAGAGTGTCCAGAGGGTCCAAATGGTGCAGAGGGTCAGGTCCCATCATTGCATTTATGAAGCAGACTGAGGGATCTCTGTCTATCTCTACATCTCTACATCTCTCTCTACATCCGATCAATATTTCTCTATTTAATTATCCATCTCTCTTTAACTCTATCTCTCTATAACTCTATCTCTCTATAACTCTATCTCTCTATAACTCTCTCTCTCTATAACTCTCTCTCTCTCTCTATCACACATCTCTGAAAGGATAACAGCAGACCCAAAAAGTGACGTTCTCTTTCCAGATGAATGACATGCACAGACTCAGCAGTGCTCATTGTACAGTCTGACAGCAGCAGGGAGGACAGACACATTATTGAGATATGATTATGTGTTTACGTGCTTGTCGGGAGCACTCTGGGGACCTTTGCACGTGTATTCCAATGGGGTTTTACTGCAAATGAATAAAAGTTGTAGAGTTTTCCCCAAAAACAAGTAAAGTGTAGGTTTTTATCAGCGGTGACTGCAGCGAGAGCAGGAGGTGTAGGACCAGTGTGTGTGTGTGTGCGTGTGTGTGTATGTGTGTATGTGTGTATGTGTCAGTGCGTGTGCGTGTAAGCATGTGTGTGTGTAAGTGTGTGTGTGTGTGTGTCAGTGCGTGTAAGTGTGTGTGTGTGTAAGTGTCAGTGCGCGTGCGTGTAAGTGTGCATGTAAGTGTGTGTGTTTGTATAAGTGTAAGTGTGTGTACGCTTGTGAGTGTGCGAGTGTCTGTGTGGGTCTATGTGTGTGAGTGTGCGTCTTTGTGTGTGCGTGTCTGTGTGTGCGCGTTTGGGTGTGTGTGTGCGCGTCTGTCTGTGTGTGTGCGTGTCCGTCTGTGCGTGTTTGTGTGTGCGCGTCTGTGTGTGTGTGTGTCTATGTGTGTGTGTGCGTGTCCATCTGTGTGTGTGCATGTCTGTCTGTGTGTGTGCGTCTGGGAGTGTGTGTGCGTGTCTGTATGTGTGCGTGTCTGGGTGTGTGTGTGTATGTGTGTGCGCGTCTGGGTGTGTGTGTCCATGTGCGTGTCCATCTGTGTGTGTTTGTGTGTGCGCGTCTGGGTGTGTGTGTGTGTGTCCATGTGCGTGTGTGCGTGTCCATCTGTGTGTGTTTGTGTGTGCGCGTCTGGGTGTGTCCATGTGCGTGTGTGTGTGTCCATGTGCGTGTGTGTGTGTGTGCGTGTCTGTCTGTGTGTGTGCGTGTCCGTCTGGGGGTGTATGTGTGTGTGTCTGTATGTGTGTGCGTCTGTGTTTGTGTGTGTGTGCGTGTCTGTGTGTGTGTGTGTGTGTGTGTGAGAGCCGCTGCAGCTGTGAGATAAGGCGGTGTCTGTTTGGAGGTGACTTTTCAGTGACTTATGGTTTTGTGCTGATGGTTTGTTCACTTCTGGTGTCTATCCAGTCTCTCATCAACACTTTTAGAGCAGAGTTTGCATGTTCTCCCTGTGCCTGCATAGGTTCCCCCCGACACTAAAACCAGCCAATTCCTTCGTCGGGTGTTGTCGGTCGGTGAATGTGATATCTGTATTTAACCAAAATAAAATACACATAATAACAAATATCCCAAAGTGCCAGAACTCAAAGAGATTCTGAAATGTTTGTGTGACTTTCCAACTTGTTTAGAAGTGATTAAATAAAGAAACCTGCCGTCCTTAGTCAGCTTTAAAACACTTTTTTTTTCATTGTTTAGAGCCCTTTAAAAACGCATCACAAAATAAACTTCTACTGTGCTTAAAAAAAGTATAGTAGAAGTAAATATGGCTCAAATACTGACTTTACTGTACTTAACTCTTTGTGGGAGGAACAGGTGTTATTCTGGCTCAGCCTAAACATCCACTGATCGCTGACTTTGACTGTGTGTTGATCTCTGGTCGAGGTGCTTCTGTGTGAACCGTGAGACTCATTGCATGTTTGTGTACTGTTTATTATTATTGTTATTAGCTTTTTAGAAAGACCAATTAATTTGTGTTTTTTGTTTGAATGGATGTGTTTCTGCTGCGACTGGACACATTTCTCCTTCAGGGATCAATAAAGTATCTCTCTCTCTCCTGGTTCACACAGCAGGATAATGAGGCCGATTTATCCCTAACGAAAATCTTAAGAACGCTCCAATTTTTGTTAAAATAATCTGATGTATTTTCCTCCATGTGTGGTGTGTTCAGACTGCGTCGCTCAGAAGGACTTTGGGACTGCTCCGATCTCAGGGATATCCAACAGGTTGGATTGTTTTGGCCCGATTTCTCTGGGTGTGTGGTGTCGGGGACAGACGAGCACGTTGCCAGTGGACTGCGGCGTGTAGCCAATCAGAAGACAAGGTGAAGAGGCGGCGAGGAGACACCTTTATATAAATATATATATTTATATTTATAAATATATAAATATATATATAAATATATATATAAAAAAATAGAGCATTGGCCTTAAGGCCAGAAGGTCATGGGTTCAATTCCCACCTCTGCACCTTCTCCACCGACTCCCACTGATGACTGCTGTCGTTGTGTCCTTGGGCAAGACACTTAACCCCACTTTGCCCAAAGCCCCCACTGAAAGATCAAGGCTATGCTCACACTCAGAGAGCAGCCGTCCTCCTGTGGACTCACCACCTGCAGAGGGTCAGTGAGGGGCTGGTGCTATGAGACTTGGGTGGCATCTCTGATTGCCACCCCCCTGACCCAGAAATGGATTAAAGGGTAGAAAATGGATGGATGGATGGATATATTTATATATTTATAAATATAAATATATATATGTATATATATATATATATATATATATATATATATATATATATATATACAAATATTTATAAATACATATATATTTATATATATATATAAATATATACAGTCCGAGCTCGAGTTGTCTCCATTTCTTTGACCATCGCCTTTTCCTTTGATAACAATTTTTTCTGTTAAAAATAAACAAACTCCACTGCGTCCTCTTCGTCCTCCATGATTGTTTACTCTGAAGTCACGCTTGATTACGGGAGATTTTGTGAGATTTCCGTCTGACCTGGGAATGCTCGGGGAGAAATTGGTTCGTGTGCGGTGTGTGTGGTTTGCGTGACTTTGCCGTGTGGCTGCTTACACTGTACGACCAAATTTGTTAGACCCTTGATTTTTTATCTCTGTGTGGGGTCTCTCAGATTTGGAAAATCGGCCAACAATTTTAAAATCGATTTGTGTGAAGCAGGCTTAAGAATACAGATGTAAAAACCAGAAGAGCATCTTGGAATCTTAACTCCCTACGAGCCCTTCCCCCGCAGCCTCAGATCCTCGGGCAGGTCCCTGTGACTGTTCGGAGGTCCAGGCTCCGGACGAAGTGGGACCGAGCCTTCTCTGTCCGCGCTCCTCAGCTTTGGAACCACCTGCTCTCAGAGATAAAGCTCCATCAGTCTCCTCTTTTAAATCACTTCTTAAAACCCACTTTTATAAAACAGTTGTTGGTTTGTTAGTCCCATATGAACCGGTCCGGACTCTGAGGAGCGCAGGGACTGGCCTCCTGCTGGGACTCTGAGGAGCACAGGGACTGGCCTCCTGCTGGGACTCTGAGGAGCACAGGGACTGGCCTCCTGCTGGGACTCTGAGGAGCACAGGGACTGGCCTCCTGCTGGGACTCTGAGGAGCACAGGGACTGGCCTCCTGCTGGGACTCTGAGGAGCACAGGGACTGGCCTCCTGCTTGGACTCTGAGGAGCACAGGGACTGGCCTCCTGCTGGGACTCTGAGGAGCACAGGGACTGGCCTCCTGCTGGGACTCTGAGGAGCACAGGGACTGGCCTCCTGCTGGGACTCTGAGGAGCACAGGGACTGGTGATAGTTGAAGAACAGGAGGAACTACACTCTCCACCAATGACAACGCTGGCAGCAAACAAGCATGGCCTTGTCCTGGCGACGCCGTGAGGACCCTTCATTCATGCAGCAACCCTCCTCCTCCCCATCTCCCTCACCCTTCTCCTCGCTCCCACCTCCAGACTCCAATCTCTGTCTTCTTTTCTCTTCTGCATCATCATTCTGTGCTCTTCCAGGATCTAAGGACCAATTCTTTACCACTTTTCTCGTACAGCAGCAACACATCTCGCAATTATTGTCCTCAGAGTTGTATGTTCTCATTTACGCAGTGTCAGTAAATTTCCAACAAATGTACAATTCTAACAAAACCTGTTTGGTCTGTTCAGGTCTCACCGGAGGGAACTACTGTAAATGTTTGCAGAATTCTCTTCCTTCTCTTCTCTTCCTGAAGTGAATCATGTTCTGTGACAGAGGCTTGACTGCAACTGCGTAGAGAAGGTCCTCCTCCTCCTCCTCCTCCTCTTCCTCCTCCTCCTCCTCCTCCTCCTCTTCCTCCTCCTCTGGTCAGTCGTGACAGTATCAGGGATTTCCAGTCGTACTAATGAAACATATTAAGTACGACCGGGACTTTAACATGTTCATTAAGATTCATGAATTATGCAAATGAGATGAGTTTTGGCAGATTACACCGGTGCATCGCTAGCATCTGTGCTCCTGACAACAACAAACCTTGACATGAAGGAGTAAAAACAGAGCGCATTGGTTCGCCTGTAGCCTGGTCGTACCACACCATAGTACTAATTTCAGTTTGTACTTTGGTGTGGCTTTGCTCCATTGGCTCCGTTAACAGGTGGGAGGGGTTAACTGCTTTTGCACTTTCTGACTGTCTCGAAACAACATTCTCCAACGGGAAAAAAACCCAATTATTCTCTGGTCAAGAACTGTCGCTTTATTTTCTCATTTCCAAAGGAGGCAGTTCTTGTATCGTTATGAAACAAGATCATGTTGTTTTGTCCCGTTGGTAAATCTTGTTTTAACCCTTTAATGTTCACTCCATGAAGAAAGCGATGGAGGGAGATTTAAGTTCCAAGCTTCAAGTCGATCCACCAGCAAGAAGGTCCTGGGTTCGAATCCCGGTCGGAACAGGGCCTTTCTGAATGGAGTTAGCATGTTATTTTTGTGTCTGCGTAGGTTTCCTCCAGGTGCTCTGGTTTCTCCTACAGCTAAAAACATGTACAATAG